TTTTGGTTGTAACCTAAAACCGAGCAATAACTGAGTATAAATGACACATGACGTAACACTGGATGTTCGTGAGCCAGACGGAAACCCGAGGGCGCATATTAAAATGTGCTAAAAATTTCTCTGCAGTGCCTGAATGTGCAAATAAGCTGCTAAAACTAATAACTAACACATTGCCTAACTGCACACGGTGGTAATTTGTCAATATTGTGTTTACAGCTTGTTCTGCCGCCTCTAAGTGGCAAAAACATTACTGCATCCCGCATTGCGCAGCGAACATACATTATGGAAAATGAACAAGCATGCCAAGAATTCGACAAATGCATCTTAAAACACTGGATATAATGCTGTTCGTGTTCCACAGCAAGCGGCGCGGGCTGTGAGGAGTTATGTGAGTTTTCAGAGGTATAACCTCAGGCAGGAAAATGCAAGCTGTGCTGCTTTGATGCAATATAGATTGAAAGACAAATACACGCGTGTGGCCAGGCAGCCATGTGCACACGACGGCATACAGATATCTCATGACCCTTGTTTTCAGCTTCTAAACTCCAGCCTTGATTACCTCTATTTCCATCTTCTTCTAAGAATACCAAAGAGATGGAAACCTTGAGAGAAAATATTTAACATGAGGTTGTTTTAAAAAGAAATCTTTTCAGATAGATGTTGCAGGTGGGTTACAAAAATTACCATCAGGCAAACTAGAGCTGAATTTATGTGCCGAGCAACCTATGTCATCAATAATTCCCTTTAAACAGAAACTTTGATTAATAAAAGGTGCAAACTTCAAACTCTAACTACCTTTTCTGGTGTTGTTTGCCCAACTGTGTTTTCTTTAAAGACATGTGCGAGCGTGCGTCTGTCTGTACGCCGCTGAGTGTCTGATGGGCCTCTGTATGTGTTCTTTTTTGGTCATTTTGAGCGGCTGCAGGAAGGGAAGATTTTTCTCATCATCAGTTCAGCGGCTTCTGGTGTCAACAATAAGAGAAAGATCTTCACACAGGCCGAGTCCTCGTATCCAACAAGCCCGCTCATTTGACACGAAGCTGACAGGAAGTTTCATAAATAAAGAAAAAAAAAAAGAAAAGAAGGAAAAAGTGACCTAAATCAAACTGGTTGCACCTTACGGAAAAACAAAAACAATCCGTGACAAACATCCTAACCAGCCGCACATGAAAGCGAGCGTGAGACCTGAGAGAGGAGCCGGAATGCAAAAAATTCGTGGGAATGAGGAGCGAGTGCTGAGGTGGACAGCCTTGTAACAGAGTGAACTTGGGCAAAAAAAAAACAAAACAATTTCAGCTCCACATACATTATGCTCAGCACCAATATAAACCCAGAGCTTATGAAGCGAAGTTGGTCAAAGTCATGTTGGTTTTGAGACTCACTGAAGGGAATCAGTCCTTGCCTCGTCGAGATAAAGCGCTCCCTTTTTCCCTCCTCCGAGCGAAGCAGCTCAAATTAACTGACTTTCTGCAACAACCGTCTGAGTGGGCATTAGGACGCCATTTAAATGAAGCATCTGTTTCCTGTAATGGGCAGAATGAATTGCGTTCCTGCCTCACATCAGTGTCGCAGACTTCGTGCCCCGCTCTGTGAATCACAGACTCTTCACCAGGTCAAACAGCCCAGGATGAATCATGCATACTCACGAAAAGCTCCTCATCTCTGAAATGTTTTCTCGCTGCATGAACCAACATGCAAACAGCATATCAAATAAAAGGCACTCTCCTTGGTGTGTCTGGATGGCTTACACATGCATCGCAGGGTGTCAGTGTAACACCTCTGGGCTCCAACGCCACACCAGTAAGAGCTCTTTGGGACATAATGACTCCATGTGTGCGTTTCTGTAGGAAACATATTTGATGTTGTAACAGACATTGTTTAGTGCGCCACAAGTTTCTCTCAATGGTACTTTAAGCTACTTAAAAATAGAATGAATACTTGGATTGTTTTTGTCAAGCAGAACACTGTATTACAGTACAGTGTGCTGTGTGCTTTTTCTTGCAGAGTTATTTGGCTTGAAAGCATGCTGGTTAGTGTATTTACGTCTTTCAGCGAAAGGTTTTCTGAAGTCTCACCTAAGAAGAAATTACCAAAACCCTGAAAAAGTCAAATTAACCCTTAACTCAAAAGAAAAAAAGGAAAAGCAAAGATGAAAGTAAAAAAAAAATCAATATGATTTGTGTGCAGAACTCAGTTTTCTGACCCCTTTTCAGAGTCTTGGGCAACGCCGCCTCAGAGAATATAGCTGAACATGCTGAATTCAGCTTGTGCAGGTGGATAAAGCCGTAGCAGCAGTGATAAAGATAGCACAGTAACAGCAGGCCTTGAATAGGCAGCGATTGTTGATTTTGGATTTTTTTTTAAAATGGATTGTGGTGGTGTTGAACGTCTCATGGGGGGGGGGGACTTCATGTTATCCTCAGAAATAAAACCCACTATGCCAAACAGAAAAAAAAGAAGAAACCCAACAATGCGGTACGACTACAGAGCGGTGAAATGACAATACTCTGCTGTTCAGAACAACCTGTGCAAAAATGTGTGCATGCACAAACACAAATGCCCACAGACAGAGAAAGGGGGCCCGTAATCTTTCTTCTCTGCAGCTCATATAGTCAATCGTGCAAGATACAATTATACCCTGTGACCTGGGATCACCTACAGGAAATGAAAAGCATAACAAAAGAAATTTGAAAAAAGAAGAAGGAAATAAAGCGAGAAGATTGCCGAAGGGGTGTACTTTCAAACACAACTGTGAGCGTGACGAAAAAGGGAAATTCAGCCTGGTAATACAAACAAGAGACAGATTCATCTTAACAGTTAACAGGTGGAGGCAGAACGTTCTGACTATTAAATCAAACACACTGGTCGCATAAGAGGAAGAAAAGCCATAAGGCACTGTGCGTGTTTAGCGGACCTTCAGAACAAAAGCGGAATGTGACGGTTTTGTGATCGTGATCCATGGACTCAAGGACGTAGAACAAAGCAAGAACAAATACACGTGTGTGAACATTTTAGGAAGATACAAATATATCTGCGCACTGACCTACTGGGTTTCACTACTTGGGAACTTCTCTCCGGTTTCCATGGTAACGCTCCTGACCTTCACCCTTCTCCATGTATCTTTTGCAATATGGTTTGCACACTCAAGACCACCATCTGTGATTACTTTACCTATCAAAGGACCGTCTTTGTGGGTACCGAAATAACGATTACGTCTGTCCGCACACCCACTAGTACTGGTTCAGTTAGAAACAGCCTCATCGTGGTTGTTATAATCAAGACGCGTGTTCAGAGCAGAATCTTTGTTTCAAGCTGGATTTCTGTGGACGTGATTTGGACTTGAGGCTCCAAAGGTACGGTGGGTTGGTCACAGGTTACTGTGGAAATTAGATGCTTAATCCTAGTCCATGTTTCAAAAAGAGCCACATAAAAGCAGGCATTTAAAATTTAGCTGCTACAAGGCAGTATACCAAATGATGAAATTTATGTTAACAATGTAAAGCCTGAACTACAAAATAATTGCCAGCTGTCATATTTGCTACATCTGACATTTAATTAGTGTGCAACTTCCTTTTGTTTTCATTACTTATTAATGATAATGTATTAGTCTCAATAACTGACAAAAACTCATGTATCTAAAAGGATTCACTTCGCTATATAGGGTTAAAATGTGCAGTGTCGCTGAGTAACACTTTACTGAGTAATACCTTATAAGTCACCTTCCTTTGTAGAAGTGGTAGCTGGACAGATAAAGCAATGTCAGCAGGAGATTATTATCACCGATCGTCACCGGGTAGTTATTAGTGAGAAAAAGATGGTTTAGAAAAGCCTTACGACATTCAGCATTAGCGATGGGTCTGTTTATGTGTCTTCGCGTGCAACTTTTTCTTTAAAGGTCAGCTAAACCTGTGGACATGTTAGCGCTTCAAACTCAGGGCCATGTTGGTAAAGATGAGCAGGTTGGATGCGTGTTATTGCAGCAGATGGAACAGAAGAAGCAAAAAATAATTACAAATCCTCCTGTTTTTAATTTGTAAAAGTAAAAAAAAATGAATCAAGTGCACAACTGCAATATGTAGGTGTGCAACTGGTGTCCACCTGATCTGAGTGGCATCAGAGATTCCACATTTCTCGAGCTCAGTTTCCTGTGAAACCGACACAAAGACTGCATTCAGTTTGCACATCGAGCTAACGCTATCCTCGCTCTGTGCTGAAACAATCAGCAGATGTTCATTTCAAATGCTCGTTTGTAATCTTCTCCCAAACAGAATATTTAGGTTCCCCTTGGGTGAAATCATCAAACCTAAAAGCAAAACGCAATTTTATGGCTTTCAAACTGTGCCAGCTATTTATTTACATATCTCCGCGCTAGCTCTTAATAGTCATGTCAAGCACTTTGTAAGAAGGGAACAGCATTAATAATGCTCAGGACCAAAGCTTATCTGTTGCTTGCGATGAGACAATGTGTCCCCCTAAAAGGCAAACAAGCGATCTTCTTTGTGGCGAAATTACTGATTATATCCTCACAACCCCGTCTTTAAGTAAGTGTGTGCCCTACAACGTCCACTGACTTTCAGAATCTAATGTTCAAACATTCCTTTCATTGCTAGCATGCAGTATGAATACTTAAGATTTTGCTCTGCGGTGGTTCCAGATTATATCAAAATGTCCTAGAAATGTTATTGGTGTGGGAGAAAGATGCTATATATTTATTCTTACAGGCCTCAGACGGGAATTTCTTGTCATTTTTTCATTTAAAAGCCTCTTAGGGAAAAAAAAAATCAGTTATTTCCACTTCAATTTTCCACAAAAAAACAAAGATGATAAGAGCACTACTTTATTCTCACTTGCTAACAAATCGTCCCTGAAAAACTTTCAGAGCTCTCCTAAAAATTGCTAAGTTTCAATCCTGTGTTGGAGAAGATGCATAGACACTCAAGTCTGAGTTTAGATTTGAGGGATCCGGTCCAGCAGCGAGCGGGACGGAAACATGCCCTTACCTGAGGCTCAAGGTCAGTCGTTCATCTTTTGCCCTCAGAAGATCTCCAACTGAAAACGTGGCACTACCCAGGAAGCTGCTCTGTAAATACAGGACAAAGAAGAAAGAAGCCGTAAATGAAGTATCAGGTTAAGAGTTAAAACAACCAAACTCCTCTTTTGGTCGCACCATAGAGGTGGTAGCAACAAGCACAAGCCATTTGCCAAGTACAATTCTGAAACTTCTGAAAACAAGTTCCTTTTTTGTCTCCCTTTAATCCGCTTTCTTTCCTTTCTCTGCTCCGACAACATGTGTTTGCTGCAGGCACAGTATGAACACGGGGTGTCAGCACACGAGAACTGGGTCATGGAGAGAGAGGTAGGGGACGAGCCCATCGGTAACGAAGAGAGACGATCCACATTTCTAGGCTACGCGCACGTTCCCTCCTTCCTTAACAGGAATGGCCAGATACGTGCACGTCTACTCACACGTACAGTCCTGCACCTGCATGTGACACCTTCAACATGAAAACTTGTATAAACAGGAAGGGGGGAGGGCTGCGACTGTGCCAAGGACACAGGCTGCTGCTCCTGCTGCTGCAGAAACCTCTAACATGTAGGTAATTAACAACAGGTACAAAGGTGATTCCCAGCATTTCATCATAATGAGGGCGACACTTTAATTAAAGTATCCGCACACAATCAAGATGCTTTCAGCCCTTTTTTTCTCCCAGAATTTTGCTGTTTATAAATCCTACATTTATACGCTACTGATGGCTCTTCCAAAACTAAAAATAGCAGCATGTAACGCGACAGTTTGTGTCTCGCTCCTGTCTGTTCTTACATATTGTTGTCAAAGGCTTTGCCCTGCCTCTGAAGATGAAGAAAGTGAAGTCAGTTTTTTTTAAATGAATGCAAAAAAACGTTGAAAGTATACAACGTTGTCTGCAGAATTAATTGGAAGCAAACCTAAAATATAATAATAACTGCTATACCAGAAACTATCTCTAGTCGATAGACGGCGGAGAGTAAAAGTGTCAAAAACGGCAGTTCCTCCAATGGCCACTTGAAGCTTCCTGTCACTTCTTAAAGTGCTTAAATTTAAAACGAACATCCTCACAGCATGGTAACTTCCCCTTTCATAACAACTTTCATGTGGGGGTGAATTTTATTTTTAAAAGTCACCAATTTGTTTACCAAATCATAACAGCAGCTTCCTCAAGGCACATTATATTGTAAAGTGAAGACCCAAAAATAATACAATAATAAAACCTCATATGACCCCCTATGAGCAAGTGGTTTGGCAACAGTGGAAAAAAAAATCTCCCTTTTAACAGGAAGAAATCTGGCAGAACCAGGCTCAGGGAGGAGTGGCCATCAGATTGGTGGGGAAAGAGTACTGTCTAATAAATAGCAATAAATAAGTTTATCCCTGAGTTTGGTGAGTGAAATTTCACTATTTTAGCTGTAGAGTACGTTATTTAGCAACAATTAGACTGTATTTCTGTGCAATGTGTCCATACTGTCTATGAATACAACTTGCAAACAAAGCCTACTATTGACAAACACTACTATCTATTAGCGTCATAAACCATTGAGTGACATCATGGTGGATGCATCCATCTTTTATATAGTTTATGATCTATCCGTCCATCAGTCCTGTTTTTAGATGCCCTCGGGTGAGAGGTTGTATATATCTTGGTTAGATCTACGGTCTACAGGGCTATCACAGTCACACACTATTTTACACCTATAACCAATTTAGAATCACCAATTAGGCCAAACATGCACGTCTTTGGACTGTGGAAGGAAGCTGGAGTGCCCACAGACTACTCATCCAGGCATAGGGAGAACATCCAAACTCCACTTAGAAAGGCCCCAGCTGGACGCTACTGTTTGTGATTGAAAGCAGAGGTGGAGAGTAAAACACCACACAGTTTTACACTCCACCTACAAAGAAAAGGTCACAAACAATACTCTGTCAGCCTGTGGAAATGGGACATTTAAGTCATGACTGGAATTGCAGCTGATATATGAGAAGCAAAGCTTAATGTTTGAGTTAACACAATTTATAGCACTTCTTTGGTCTTTTAGCTACACTTTCACTTCTAATCATTTTTCCTAACATTGCACTGCTTTTTCTCTCCCTCCCCTTTTGGGTCTCTGCAGTTTCCCATATCAGATTTAAAAAAAAAAAAAAAGGGCATCCTGTCTAGTGACCTTTTCTCTCAATCATTTCCTCCCCGGCATTTTCCTGCTACCCCATACAAATCCCCATATTCTTAAGGCAACACACTGCCCCAGACACATTCTTCTGCCCTATCCAGTCGCAAGATGGAAAACAAATGAATGCAAACACAGAAAAGAAAGGGGAACATACCAAAACACAAGGTCGGTGCAATGCTTAAAAACAACCCCAATCTACTGGACACACTCATTCAGTTACAAGTTTATGCAGCATAGTGGTGTGTTCTTATGAATTAAACAGAGCTAGGATCCCCAGCAGGCACAGCTTAACATGCACAATGTCATATTCTTCAGCACTGACGTATTTTAGCCAATCCTAGTTTGCCCTGATAACCCAGAGCACAAGGCACAGAAGGCCATTACACACCGTGGAGGAATATTATATTCCTCCTTAGCCATTACTCGCAAGTCGGTACAAAATGTCTGGCAAATCCATTCCTTAGAATCTTTTTATGGCCTCTCACGATGAAGGCTTTAAAAGTAATGAAGCTCTGGAGACTGGTGTTCTTACTCAAAATCAAAGTAGCTATACCACCGAAAATGAGAGAAAGATGAGGGCAAGAGGAGGAGTAGAGTGAGAAAAGAAGACAAATGATGCTCTTCCAGGATCATGGAGGATTGATTATGACGGTCTACCTCTGTTCCCATCCTGCATGCTCTGGCTCTGTCTTCTTTCTATCAGTCTTTTCACCTGCTCTTACTCATTCCCTTGGCTAGCTCTAATAGTGGCGCCAGTTGGGGAGGTAAAAGAAAAACTTTTGACGTATGGTCTCTGTCGCCAGTTTTTGAAAAAAAAAAAAAGAAAAGAAAGGAAAGAGTCATGTTTAAGTAACAAAATAGAGCTCTCAAAAGCACACAAGATCAATCATGTATGAAAAATGAAAGGAGCACGCAGAGCTGACGGACTGCGGGTCTGCACAGCATCCCGAGCACTTGTCTGTGGACCCTTGAAGGCCACAGTGTCTGCTCATCACTTGACAGAGGTAAACGGCCCAACTCAAGCTGTAGATCTATTGATTTTTCTCCATGCCCTGGGTGACAGGGTGACAGAGTGACACACACACACACCCAGTAAGACTCTCTCAATCATTCCTTCTCTCCCTGTCTGTCTCTCCTTCACGCACACACTCACCAGCTGCAGAGAATACCTGGAGGAGAGGGCATTCATTCACATGCCACACCAACAAGTGACATTTTAGATAAATGGCAGCAGTGACAGTTTGGCACAATACTACGCATCAGGAGTATTATTAACATTTGTGATTATGAACAGATCTGCACCACGGAGGTCAGTAATGTTTACATGGACGCGCTGCTCCCTCACTACAAAGTGGGCTCTGCAAATCGGCCTAATTAAGTCATTAGAGGTGTCATGACACGCACTTTATCGTGGCATGCAAATATGTGCACTCAGACGCGAATTACAGCTACAGCAAGTTAAAATGGACAAGGAGTGTGAGGGTACACAGCAAATACACGCAGCACATAAACACACGCACGCACACGATGAAGTCCACTTACAGTTGTGTTTGACAGAATCCTAGCAGCAGCACACCAAGTTAGACAGTGAGAGGAGAGCTATAGAAGTGAGGAGAGTCTGACAGAAAAACAGAGGCTGAAATAAAGAAGAGAGAAAACGGGGGAGGAAAAAAAAAGTGATGTTATGTCTTCCTTCTTCCTCTTAATGAGCTCCAGGATGGTCCTCTTACATATCTCCCTCCAGTGCCTTCGTTAGAGTAACTCCATGGATGCGTTGTATTCACTCTTTAAGGAGCAGCAGGCACACTGGCTGACACAAACATGTAAACCGTGACACACACGCGCGCACACACACACATATTGACATGCACACTGCAGCCGCCCTGTGTCTCAGAACTGGCTAGATTGAGCTACTGCCGCTACTGCTGTTGCTGCTGTGCCCTGCTTGGTAAAGGAGACCAGCGAGAGAGAGAGAGAGAGAGAGAGAGAGAGAGAAAAAGAGAGGTGGAGGAGGGAGTGACAGGAGGGGAGGGAGGCAGAGAGTCGACACATACAAACAGAGAGGGGGAAGAAGGAGGAGGAGGGTGGAACAGAGAAGAGGAAGAGGCAGAAAGGAAGGAAGACTGACAATTAATGGGTAGAAAACCAAGATAGCAGCACATAAAAGGGGAGAGAGATATAGAGTAATATAAGGGGAAATATCTAGTGAGAGAGAGGGAGGAAGAGGGAGCGCACAGACACAGACTTGTGTGTCACACTTCGGTTGCAGCCTGTGACTCAGATGGCCAACAGGAAAAGAGACACTTGTTATGGCTGCTTGAATTAACACGAATTCCGACCACACGGTGGAAGGTACGCGTGTAGGTGTGTGTTTACATACAGATAAACACTTCAAAACGAACCCTGGCGTGCTCGAGGATCACACGAGAGGATCGTCGAGACTCTC